ATGCGTCTTCACCATCGCGCTATGAGCTCGCTCACCTAGCGTGGTTGGCAGGCATTCTTGCCAAATGAGCTCGTCCTTCGAAAACGGGTGTCGTTGAATGTCTTCATTTGTGAAATAGCATTATCAGGCAATGCCAACATCTTCAAAGCTCATAAGCCTTGCAATACCAGACAAAACACTTGTAACCCAACGCAGCTGAATGTGGTTTTGAGTTACATGCAATATCCCCAGAACGACAGGGAAACCGCGAGCTGTGTTATGTGCTGGCCGGCAATGTCTACTTTGGCGGGCATGGCCTGGCATATATTGTATAGCACGGAGGTTACCGGAGTCTGCACAACTTTAACATTATCGTGGATGAGTTAAGGTTGTCAATTCTGTCAGGTGCAGGCGCGGAGGGAGGGGATACTTGGGCAAATATGCCGAAGCGAACAGGCAGTATGATTATCAGGAGGAAGTTAAAATGCAGTAAAAGCGGTTGAAGAAATCAAATCTGTCCAAAAAACATTTTTGAGGAAATGTATCGAATTGTGGTGCGCTCTCCTGACTGAACGGAAATTTGACAGACTTTCTTCCTGTAAAAATACTACTTTTTGAAAAGTTTTGGTCCCAACGCGGACATCGTGGGAGAACAACTCATAGTGTGCTTTTATCACGGCGGTGGTTGTGGTTTGTAACATTACGTCGAATCGCTCAAGGAAAATGTGCAAACATTTCAGGCTGTCGGAAATCATCGGGGTTATCTTTAAATCAAAATTTTCCGTTCGCCCCACGAAGAACAGGAAAGTCTTTAAGCTTATTAAATGCACTTTAGGACACAGATGCACGAGTGTGCCGAACAGCAATCAATGTTGCTATATTCTCTGATCTTGATCCATGTAGCAAAACACCACCATTCAACATGAAGCCTCTGCTAGCTCCAACATGAAGCGCGTTAGTCTTCGTCATGGTGGTACTGCTGGTAGAACAAATGTGAAACAGTCGATCTTGTCGCTGGTGCTTTCAACCTTCAGGTCGACGTCAACTTCCGACCGAGCACCGACCACCGAGCACGCTTCTTCGACCCGCGCCGACTGCCCTTCACAGAACAGCCCAGCCGAGGTGTCGGGATTCCCAGCAGCGGGCACGGGTCGGCGTGACGTCACTGCCGTCGTGCTGGGCCGGGGCCGCGCGCCGTGTGACCCGGCACTCCCGGGCGACCTTGACCTGCACGGCGCCGCCCGGCCTCCGCGGCACAGGGGCCGAGGCTGACGCGGCGGCGGCGCACCAACTCCAGGATGCATGACGTGGGCGCGGACACGCGGGATGACGCATGCGCCCTCGGATGGCGGCGCTTCCACGCACCGTCCGTCGTCATCGGTCGTGCGGTGAGTGCGGGGACAATGACCTGCCTCGTGTTAGGCGTGCACATTAACTGAAGATGCAGGCAGTGAACAACGCCTAATTTGCTCACTTGGATCTGGATGGTGAAGCAGGCAAGTCTTCGCGACCAGTCTGATCTCAGCTCGACACAGCGGAATCCTAGGGCAAGAACTGCATCTCATCAGCAATTTAACTGCATGCGTACATATGCTTTTCGTCTTGCCTTTCGACAGTAAGAGCTTAACATCACACCTATTTGAAAATTGCCAACTTGAAATTTTCAGAGCATGGCTACGAGCCAGTAGAGATCTCAAATCATAGCCAACTGAGGTTCCTTGCAGATTTCATTACGTAACTTTCACCGAACTCGCATCTTTGCTTACCTTACCCAATTCCAGTTGATCCACACGCCTCTCGCACCCGTATGATTAATGTGAGAGCAGCCACGTGTATGTGAATGCCGTGTCAAGTGGACACATTACATAAATTAACAAAAATCGAGCTCGCTGGCGTGCTTTTGGAACGTTTCCGAGATCACACGTCGCCCGCTTGCGTGATCCGCCGTCCTACGTCAAATGGCAAGTGCTTCATCACGTGATAATGGACCGTACCTCGTCTGATTAGACGAGTATTTTGCTCCTCACAGGCGCCTGGTGCTGCAGTACGGCCGAGGCTTTCTCAGGGCAGCGTGATCGTGGCTGGTAGATCTGCTACCCGTGTAGGCGTGGCACTATATACAAGCATTGCTGTTATCCGCTTTGTAAACCGAGGCAGGAAACACCGCTTCGCACGCGGGCGGCTGGTTTCGGTTCGCTTTGTTGAGGAGGTTGCACTGCATTCACCATTCCGTCACCAATGTACATTTTCCTCTGGTATGCAGGCTCGTATGTGCAGGCCCACGTGATGGGCCATTGTAAGGCGAGCGTTGAATCGTAGTTGGCGAATGTTCACTCGATCACGATTGTCTTGATCGCGAATACTAATCATAAGTGATGATTTCATGAGTTTAGATGCCAGGGCGTCCGAGAAGGCGCTCTAGTTGGGACGGACAAGCTTTAAAAGGTTCGTGCCTTTGATCAATTCATTACATGCCCGATATATCAAATAACACCGGATCACGGTTATTAAAGCATCTTTGAAAAAGCACCACAAAAAGGTTATTTAAATTGCTGAACGATGTCACCTGTCATCTATGCTGCAAAGCATTAACCAACCCGCAATAAAAAAAAAACGCTTGTTAAGAGCATAACCCAATGAGTCCATCATCGCTTCACACCTCTAGATCAACGAACTGCCAACCGTTTCGCCAGGACAGCGAGACATTCTTGCCTCACAGAGGAGCCGCTTATAGCCGCCGCTGACCTCTAACGCAGCCTCTGCCGCACTACCCAGGCGGCAACGTCTGGCCTCGCCGCCTAGCGGTGACCCGCGCCGTCTGACGATGATTCACACCACCTGGCGGTGACCCGCGCAGCCTGGCGCGATTCGCACCACCTGGCAGTGACCCGCACCGCCTGGCACTGACCCGTGCCGCCTGGCGATGACCCGTACCACCTGGCGGTGACCCGCGCTACCCTGGCGTCGATTCGCGCCACCTGGCGGTGACCCGCCCTGCCTGACATTGACCCGCACCGCCTGGCGGCGACCCGCGCCCGGAGCGAGGCGCGCTCGCCAGCCCTCCAGCCGGCGCGCGCGGCGTCTGGCGGCCGAGCGTCCCTCTCTGCTGCGCGACACATCCGGTACAACACATCACCCTCCGAACGCCAGGACTAGGCCACAATGCGCTGAAGCGTGTGTATTTGCGGGTTGACAATTTGACCAGGGTATGTGGACATACGTAGCTCAGAGCTCATGCCACGACGCGATACACTCGAATCACAAGTCTTTGGTCCTTACGTCATGGCGTTCAGCACCACGCACAAACCAAGCTAAGTAGTCAACTTTGTACCAGACAAAACCTCCGCGTGCCCAGGCAAGCATCCACAGTGAAACGAAAACTGAACACAGAGCATAACAGAAGACCAGCAAAAAATGAGCAGCACAAGCTGGCGAGATGAAGGACAGTCGTCTCGCGAGCAGGGGCAATGACGGCGTTCGCGCCATTCACCGACCGCGAACATGAACACCAAGAAACAAACACCCAACATGGCACCAGCTAAGGCAATGCACCTTGAGGCCTGGACCCGCGGGACGTTGGACTGTGTTCCAGTAGAGACCCTCCCGAGCTCACGGGCGCGACCCGCTCCGCCTGGAAGCCTAGCGCGGCGGCCGCCCACAGAGCGCGCTCGTGGATGGTCGGGCGCCGGCCGATTCCTGCGTCCTACCGACACTGGTGCCGGGTCTACGCCACGCATTTCGAAAGGCGGACGCAACGACTGGAGTCATGCGTGAACCATTCAGGCACCAACAACCAATGGTCTCTGATGCTACATGACGGGTCTTTGAAATACGAATAAATGTGGTCCAGCACAAGGAAAGCAAACAATACACCCTTTAACCGCCCGTGACAGCTGTGATGTTACGGCGAATCTTGCGCTGTCTCGAGGGACGACTTAAAGGCACGCCCACTGGGGTTCCAAAATCACCGCGGCCCTCAACACGAAATTGCTTGTCTTTCACCTTGAGTACAAGAGATTCCCCTTGAGACGAGACAGGAATGTGGAAAATATTGTGACGACCAAAAGAAACAATAGCTTAAACAACGGGACGATGTGAACGGCCCAACAGTTGCAACCAAAACTCATTTGCGACAGCGAAAAAGAGAACAGTTCAAACTACGTGCCGACATCGATGGCCCTAAAAATTTAAGACTCTATCGCCCCTCACACTTTCTTCGCGAGTTTGTAGACAACGCAAAGCGTTGAATGGCAAACTCGAAGTCACTAGGATAATGCAAACAATTGTCTTTGGCCCCATTGGACCCGCGCATCCAGTGACCGCGACTGAATATTGTTATCACACGCAAAAGATGATCGAATGAAACACTATCTCCGCTCTTAACCAGCCACATGCAAAGGGCCGCGCATGTTCCATACACATCACAAATGTGACACATAGATGAGCCGTGGACTTTGTAGGTTTGTAGCATGTACATGACTACGTCACCGGCACGGCAAAACACGGATCTTCAACAAAAGCAGATTTTGTTGCGATGAAAAGGCACGCGCATGCCAAAAGTTTGGGATTAAACTTATGGATAAGCATTCCTGAAATGCGACAACAGCCTGGCTGGCTGTTGTCAAGGCTTGGCTTGACATGCCTGACAACAAGGCACAAAATAAGGAAAGGGAATACCTGCCCAGGTCACATTATCATTTTAACTCCTTTCCACACATGGACGATTTATAACTTAAATACAAATACCGAACGTTTCAGCTCCTGGCAACGGCCATTTTGATAAATTGGCCATAACGCAAGACCCAGAACTTGGTAATTTGTATAAACCCTACTGTGCTACAATACTTGGGTTGACTTGTGCTTAGTTATCGCACCGAATATCATATCCCGTAAATATAATGGCACCGAACACACCCTCACTTCCTTCTTTTTGATACACCTTTCAATGATGGAGCCAGCCTCGTACATTCTAGTGTCATTTACCCACAAGCCGGCATTGAAACCCGCCCGCGAAACCGAACGCATTTCACGTTCCACCCATCAGGCGTCACTGGCGGCGCTCACTTTTGCAACTTTTCCACGAGCCACTCATCAGTGAGCTCCTCCAGCTCACGGATCTCGTAGACTTTGGTGAGTTCAACCTCCTTGACCAGCGACAGCTTGCTGCCTGCATACATCATCTGCAGCTGTGGCTTGGCGTCTGGGGACAGCAAAGTGCCAGCTGATGCCGCACAGGTTTGGAACTGAACGTCCCAACGCACGTGCAAATACATTAGCGTAACCCCCCCCCCCCCCGCCACACACACAGACACAAACACAGACAGCGACATATGTCTGCAGAGCGGGCGACAGGAGACATTTACATTATGGGAAATTCTTCCACAAAGAATCCCTCCAACAACAGGAACAAGAAGAGGATATTTCCCTTCACTGAATGCCATCTTGCACATCCCTGGCAATGGGTAAATGAACTCTTTGATCATTACATTCATGCCAATACAAAGCTTGCTGTGCCTATGAATTTAACTATATAGTTTATCACAACCAAGCACTTGGTTCCCACACCGAGTGTTCTGTTAATGCTATTAATGACGTGGCTGTCACAGGTGCATAAAGTTAAAAAACAGGACAGTGTAGAGTTGGCCCCCCACCTTGCCTGAAGAAAGCAATTTGCAGGTGAATACAACATTGGTACAAGCTTATTATCATACATCTTGACTTAACAACACTCCAGATAAAATCTTACATTTTGCTTCACCAGGGTGATCTGCTAAAGTAGCAGAAGTCTTGCTGATGGAGTAACCATGCTCACACATTCTCCCATCACATCAAACTGCACACAGAAGGAATGCCCAATGCCCAAGACAGATGACCAAAATCACCACTGTAAGTGAAACCAGGACATCATACCACTGTGCAGGACAATGTAGCACAGATGGGCACAGTCAACAGTCCATATCAGATCCCCAATCACATCAAACTGCACACAGAAGGAATCCCCAATGACCAAGACAGGTGACCAAAATCACCACTGTAGGTGAAACCAGGACATCATACCACTGTGCAGGACAATGTAGCACAGATGGGCACAATTAACAGTCCATATCAGACTGCAGTCCTTTCAGGGGGAACAGAGCATACACATCAATCAAATGTGCTACACATGCAGCTGCAAACAGACCTTTTGGTGTGGAGAAGATGAAGACCATGGGATAGCTGACTCGTCCGTCACTGTGGTCCATGCGGCAGGAGTAGATGATGAAGCGTGGCTGGTGCTCAGGCAGCTCCGCACGCAGCTCGTCCACATCCTGCACGTCATTCAGCTCCTCGTCCACATAGACCATGTGTGACTCAGGATCTACTTTCACTGTGGATGGGCAATATGAAGGACTTAACACCAAGCCTGTATGTCAAACACATCAGGCAGGTATCACAATGAATATGCTGTTTATGCAGACTTGGAGTAAATAAAACATTCATATTTCAATGAGCATGGGTTATATTCACCATGATACACTGTGCAGAGCAATCAGCCCCATGAAATCTGGCAACCATTGAATGTGGTTAATAAACCAGCAGGATACAGTCAATATCTTTAAGATTCCTCCACAAAAAAACAGCAGAGACTTCAAAAGAAATGGTTGATAAGCATGACATAAATATGTGTCATTGTTAACTTCCATGACAACTTTCCGAGCCATGCTGTCTAGACTAAAAAAGTAGGTGGCCACAAGTTGCAGAAAATCCACACATATTTAGTTTGAAAACTCTACTGCAAGTTCAATGCATGCAATCAACAAGCCTACTGGCAAACATTAACTGAGAAAACAAACCAGTAACAATTTTTATGGCCACCATAAATCAGCATATATCTGATTCTTACATATTAAAGCAGCATTTGTAGTGTCCTTTCTAAAACGGAAGTTCTTGATGCTCTCCTTTGCTTCACTTGAGATCTCACATATCTGCACATTCTGTGCCTGAAAAGGGGTACAGTGAAAGATCAAACATCTCCCTTCCCTTATTTTTTAACCTTGGCAACACAAGTAGGCCTTAAAGACTCCTAGCTCTTTCATACTACACAAGTTAGCACCATGGGGTAAATACATCATAAAACTCTTGTCAAACTGGGACAGAGAGCCAAAACCTGACAATGGTAAATTAAACCATTCACAAATCAAATTAGGTCATAAGAATCAACTTAGTAATTTATAGGCCACTCCCACTATCTAAGAGGTAAAAATGGAATAACACCTATTGGAAAACTATCAGGCAGGCATTATTGGAAATTGACAGGTGTGAACTATGATATGTTCTGTCAGGTCACAGGGAGTGAGGGCTGTTATCACCTTGACCCATATTTGTAGATCAGGAATGCAACAAGCCCTATCAATGGGAGGAAATAGCATTCTGAAGATTTTTTGTACTAAATGAGTATGGCCAGATTGCACCCTTAGCTTGGATGACATACACTAAAAAAACACTACAGTGGCAACCCACTTGAGCCCCAAATACCAAAAATATGTAAACAGAGCTTCTTTGAAATGCCTTTCCTAAGGAAAACATGATCTGTTACTTCTGAGCAAAATATAAGGACATGCCTTTGAGAAAGAAGTCATAGATCATGGACCATCAAGGTCAGGAACATGGTATTTTCACATGTGTAAATAGGATAAAAACTTAACCAGCCAAAATTTGGGCACAATTTTTGGACAAAATTTGGTCAATGAATTCAAACTGCTCAGAATGATTCTGAAACACCTTTGGGGGTCCTGGGTCCCCTGATGGGGACATGGTTATGAACTGCTTGAAAGCAAAGTGTACAGTAACATATTTTAACTGATAACAGGGAACATAGAGTAACATAACATAAATGCAAAACAGCCAGGAATGTGTACACTTCCAAGAAATACTGCAATGAATTTCTTCTATTAACCAAAGATGTACAAATGCACCACACACCATCTCTCAGGTAGCTTCCAATTGAATTGATATGCTGTCGCTGTCAGGGTGAGCCAGAGATGACGTATCTTCTGGTCTCTGACTCCTGGCTTTTTTTTACTTGGGTACCTGTATTGCCGACGGTGGGGAGAGCTACGCTGGCTGCAGGGTTCCTGTACTGCCGTGATGGAGAAATGCTGTCAGGTATCAGCCGACGTAGTGACGTCACTGAAAATGGGTTTCCATCGATCGGGGTTCTTTTGGGCCAACTGAAGGCTACAAGGCATTTGCTAGCGATATGATGTCACTGGTATTCGACTGGATGTGTGACGTCACTGGTTGTGAGGCTTTAGGGATCTTTTGGGTGTAATGAATGCCGTAAAGCATCACCTGACGATATGTCGTCGCTGGCATTCAATGAAACATCAGGCGCAACAGGCCTTATTCCATCTTTACCTTTCGTACCTGTCTGCTGCAAGCATTTGCGTGTCGAATAAAAGCTTGACCGAATCACCTGAATGCGTGACGTCACTAATCATCACTTGATACGAGTGCACTTAGGCCCCACGGCCGCGGTGTATCATGTTCCGTGAAATATCACCAGGTATCGTGACGTCACTGATATTGGACTAAATATTGGTCGCAACAGGTCATGCTTCATTTTTACCTTCGTACCTGTCTACTGCAAGCACTGGCGTGATGAATAAAAGCTACCAAATCACGTGAGTGTGTGACGTCACTGGTCATGCATTTTTATGGATCTTTGGGGGCCAACTGAGAGCCGTAAAGCATGACCTAATGATGTGACGTCACTGGCATTCGACTGTGTGTGATGTCACTTGTGATCAGATTTTACGGCCTCTTTTGGGCCTTCGAAAGGTCATACGACATTAACTGAAGATGTGACGTCACTGGTATCCGAATAAAATTCAGGCGGGACAGGCCATGCTTCATCTTTACCTTTGGTACCTGTCCATTGCAAGCATTTGAATGCTGAAGGAAGGCTCTGCCGAACTACCTGAGTGTGTAACGTCACTAACCATTAATTTATATAGACTGCTTTGAACCTACCGTATGCCACACCACATCAGCTGACCATATGACGTCACCGGTTTTCGTCTAGATGTCATGCGCAACAGGCCATGCTCTATCTTTGCCTTTCGTACCTGTTCACTGCAAGCATTCGCGCGCTATATCGAGGTGGTGCCGAACCATCTGAGTGCGTGACGTCGCTGGTCATGAGTTTCATACAGGCTCACTTGGGCACCCCAATGCAACAAAGCATCATATCCTGTGAAGCATCGCGGGATGATATGACGTCACTGGTATTCGACTCAACATCAAGCGCAACAGGCCATGTTCCATCTTTACCTTTCGTACCTGCCTACTGCAAGCATTCGCGTGTTATATGACGTCAATGGTCAAGAGCTCTTACGGGCTCTTTTCAACCCCCTATATGGTATAATGCTTCAGCTGACGATATGATGTCACTGGTGTTCGACTTAACATCAAGCACAACATGTCATGTTCCATCTTTGCCTTTCGCACCTGTTAAAGTATCGGCGAGCCTAATGATGGCTCTGTCGAACCACCTGAGTGCGTCGTCATGAGTTTTTACAGGCTATTGTTGGCCGAGTGAAAGCCATAAGGCATCATCTAACGATGTGTCGTCACTGGTAATCCACTAAGTGTGTGACGCCATTGGTCATGAGTTTTCCCGGGCCTTTTTCGGCCGACTTAAGGCCATTAGGCATCAGACAACGATATGGCGTCATTGGTATTCAATTAAGCATCAGGTACAATATGTCAAGTTTCATCTTTACCTTCAGCACCTATCTACTGCAAGTATTCGCGCGCCACATGAAGGCTCTGCCCAATCACCTGAGCGTGTGGTGTGACTGGTTATGAGTTTACGCGGGTTTACTCGGGTTGACTGAAGGACATCAAGCATCATCTGGCGATGTGACGTCACTGGTATTCAACTTAACACCAGGCGCGACAGGCCATGTTCGTCTTTATCTTTCGTACCTGTCTATTGTAAGCATTGACATGCTTAAGGAAAGCTCTGTGAAATCTCCTGAGTGTGTAATGTCACTGGTCATGAGTCCTTTATGGGCCGCTTTTTTGTACCTATAGGGTACAAGACATCAGTTGACCATATGACGTCACTGGTGTTTGACTTAATCTCAGGCGCAACAGGCCATGTTCCATCTTTGCCTTTCGCACCTCTATACTGCAAGTATTCGCGCGCTACATAAAGGCTCTGCCGAATCACCTGAGCATGTGGTGTAACTGGTCATGAGTTTACGCGGGCTTACTCGGACTGACGGAAGGACATCAAGCATCATCTGACCATATGACGTCACTGATATTCGGGCTGTGGCCCAGACTTATGACCGCTAGGCGGCGCCCTTGATTATTATTTAGCCATCAGGGCATTCCGGACCGTAGCTGCTCAGGGGCGCATCCTGTGATGTCGGGCGGAATAGCTTTGCATATACGTCGGTTTGTGGGCTGGGATCACCTTTGTTTTGTGTTTACGTTTGTTCAAAATTTTAGTCGTTGAAACAGCCCGTTGCGTTTGAAGCTGCTACTTAATGGTGCGCACAATAAAATTAGTGTGCTTAACTATGGTGCATCTCCCGCCTCTGCTGCGGAATTTCGTAGCCATAGGTGGCCAAGGGACCTCCTACCAACTGATGATCAGTGACGTCACGTACTCAGGTGATTCGGCGGAGCCTTCATATAGCACGCGAATATTTGCAGCAGCCAGGTACGAAAGGCAAATATGGAACATGACCTGTTGCGCCTGATGTTTAGTCGAGCACCAGTAACGTCATGCCGTCAGCCGATGCATTACAACTTATAATGGGTTCAAAAGAGCCCATAAAAACTCGTGACCAGTGACGTCACAAACTCAGGAGATTCGACGGAGCCTTTATTCAGCACGTCAATACCTTTAATAGACAGGTACGAAAGGTAAAGAAAGTACGTGGCATGTTGGACCTGATGTTAAGTCGAATAACAGTGACGACATATCATCCTGTGATGCTTCACGGGAGGTGTTGCTTTGTGGCCTTGGGCGGCCCAAGTGAATCCGTATAAACTCATGACCAGCGACGTCACCCACTCAGATGATTCGTCTGGAGTTTAGTCGATTACCAGTGACGTCATATCGTCAGCTGATGCTTGATGTCCTTCAGTCAGCCCGAGTAAACCTGCACAAACTCATGACCAGTTACACCACACGCTCAGGCGAATCGACAGAGCCTTTTTGTAGCGCACGAATACCTGCAGTAGGCAGATGCGAAAGGTAAAGATGAAACATGGCTTATTGCAATTGATGTTAATTCGAATACAAGTGACGCCATAACGTTATCTGATGCCTAATGGCCTGAACTCGGCCAAAAAAGGCCCGTAAAAGCTCATGACCAGTGACGTCACACACTCAGTGGACTACCAGTGAAGTCATTTCGTTAGCTGATGCCTTATGGCTTTGGCTCAGCCAAAAACAGTCGTAAAAATTCATGACCAGTGACGTCGCACACTCAAGTGACTCGGCAGAGCCATCATTTAACGCACCAATACTTTACAGGTACGAAAGGCAAAGATGGAACATGACCTGTTACGCCTCATGTTAAGTCAAACACCATTGGCATCACGTCGTCAACTGATGCATTTTTCCCTATAGAGGGTTCCAAGGAGCCAGAAAAAAACTCATGACCGGTAACGTTACACACCCAGGAGACTCGACAGAGCCTTCATTCAGCACGTCAGTACTTGTAATAGACGGGTACGAAAGGTAAAGATAGAACATGGCCTGTCGCGCCTGATGTTAAGTCGGACATCAGTGACGTCATATCGTCAGCTGATACATTATACCGTTTGGGGGTACAAAAGGTCCCGTAAAAAGCTCTTGACCAGTGACGTTACTTACTCAGGAGACTCGACAGAGCCTTCATTCAGCACGCCAATACTTCCAAGAGACAGGTACGAAAGGTAAAGATGGAACATGGCCTGTCGCGCCTGGAGTATAGTCGAATGCCAGTGACGTCATATCGTCAGCTGATGCTTGATGTCCTTCGGTCAGCCAGAGTAAACCCGCGTAAACTCATGACTAGTTACACCACACGCTCAGGTAATTCGGCAGAGCCCCTATGTGTCGCGCGAATACTTGCAGTAGATAGGTGCGAAAGGTACAGACGAAACATGGCTTAGATAGAGCATGGCCTGTTGCGCATGATGTATAGTCGAGACCTAGTGTCATCATATCGTCAGCTGATGCCTTGTGGCCTATAGTAGGTTCAGAAGAGTATACAAATTAATGGTCAGTGACGTACACACTCAGGTAATTTGGCAGAGCCTTCTACGGCAATGCTCGCAATGGACAGGTACCAAAGATAAAGGTGGAACATGGCCTGTCGCGCCCGAAGTTCATTCGAATACCAGTGACGTCACATCGTCAGTGCCGTATGACCTTTCGTCGGCCCAAAAGAGGCCGTAAAATCTCATGACCAGCGACACGCACGGTCGAATGCCAGTGACGTCACATCGCTAGCTGATGCTTTATGGCCTTCAGTTGGCCGCAAAAAATCAGCCAATACTTGCAGCAGACATGTACGAAAGGTATAAATGGAGCATGACCTGTTAGCTGATGTTCAGCCAAATACCAGTGACGTCATATCGCCAGCTGATGCCTTACGGCATTTCGTCGGTCCTAGAGGACACGTGGAAACCCACGACCATTGACGTCTTACAATCGGTCGTATAGCAGTGACGTCGTTAGCTGACACCTTGTGGTCTTCAGTTGGCCGAAAAGCACCGGTGAAACTCGTGACCAGTGACGTCACACACTCAGGTGGTTCGGCAGCTTTCATCCAGCACGCCAATGCTTGCAGTAGTCAGATACAAAGGTAAAAATAAAGCACGGCCTGTTGCGCTCAGTATTTATTCGAATACCAGTGACGTCACGCTATCCGGTGATACTTCGTAGACCATGACACACCGTGGTCGTGGGGCCTAAGTGCACCCGTATGAAGTGATGATTAGGGACGTCTCACATTGAGGTGATTCGGTCAAACCTTTATGCGGCACGCAAATGCTTGCAGCAGTCAGGTACGAAAAGTAAAGATGGAACGAGGCCGGTCGCGCCTGATGTTTAATCGAATACCAGTGACGACACATGGCCAGCTGATGCATTACGGCATTCGGTGGACCCAAAAGAGCCTTACAAACTCACGACCCGTGACGTCACATACCCAGCCGAATACCAGTGACATCATGTCACATTCAAAAGCCTTATGGCCTTCAGTCGGCCCGAAAGGACCCCCATCCCGATCGATGCAAATCATTTTCAGTGACGTCACAATGTCAGCCGATGCCTCACAGCTTTTTCCCCGGACGACAATACTCGAAACCCTGCAGCTAGCGTAGCTCTTCCCTCCGTCGGCCATACAGGTACCAAAGTAAAAAATTACCTGACTCCTTTGCTGCCGTACTAACACCACTCAATCCTTTTCGCCAAGCACTGACAACGATGAAACACACTGAATGGGCGTGGCTGGCAGCTGACAATGCTACACACCAACGTCGGACCCAATCAGGTACAGCTTGTGCCCAAGATAAAGATAGACGAAAAACTGGGGAGCTGATGGCCCTATTTCAGATGTGTTTTTAAGCAATGATGCTGGCACGAATAACGCAAGTCGAGAGGACGGACCAGCAATACAGACGCTCCACACCGGAGGGCGGACGCGCGGATGGCAGCGGGAGTCACAGTGAGACGGACAGACACAAGCCGAGAGCAAGGCGTGAACAAAGGCGATGATTCTGGCTCCCGTTTGAAAGCAACTGAAGATGATGACGTCATATAAAAGGAGTATGCATTACACTTTTGACCGTTCATCAAACAAATACAGCAATAATTTTTTATACATTTAGTTTTACTCAAAATAATATGTGAGTAGCTCAGCTCAAAACTATTATGACTTATACGTTATCTGTAAAAGTCCATAACCTTTGGGCGCTAGAATAATGGTCACTGCTGCGCTAGGTAAGCAGGCATCTGCCAATCAGTAAGCATTGGCGGCATTAGTGAAGCAGTTTCAAGCAGTGAAGAAAGCAAGGCTGTGAGAGGGGCGTGTGGTCAGTTAGGCCTGTGGAGGGGGAAAGGCTGGGGCGGAAACTAACGTCTTGTAACCAGCGCGTCCAGGTACCGTCAGCCGCGTCAGGTTGGTGCCGTAGCTGCGGGGCGAGACGTATAACAGCGCTCGTAGGTAGGTAGGGTACGTACAGCTACAGCTAGTAATAGACCCTTGAACATCTACGGCTCTCGATTCATTCTGTATGGTGTACGTGGTACAATCGTAGATTTGGGCTACCGAAATCCTAGTTCTCCATCAGATCAGCACATAAAAGGTTGATATTACTCTGTTGCCCTATGACCCCAAACTCTAATATCTGACCTGCCTGGCCGACTTGTCAAGCCTGTGGCTCTGAGATGTTTGGTTGAATGCCACCTGACTGTATGGTGATTTGTAGATTTTGAGCAAGGAAAGGGGCAGCAGGTAGCTAAATCCAACCAAAGGTTTAATAGCTGAACAAATCTGAAGTCACTGCTACCCAAGTTGCCGAGTGTTGTGTTGCTGGTGCTGTCCAGCCTGCAAAAAATACATGTTTGCCAAATGTGTCTGCTGCTAATCAAGCTGCTAGCCTGCTGACAACTGCCAAGTTGATGAATGGGTATTCTTCAAGTACTTCACCTTTTTTAGAAGAAAAATCCCCACCGCGAGCGTTTTACGCGCAGTGCGGCACGGGCTCAACCAGCTCGCGTTAGCAGGATTGCCCGACTTTGAAATCATACAATCCAAACGACATCGTTAGCACAAGTAATGAGCAGGCAATTAACATTATTCACTACGTCGTTTCCACCACTGCTACTCACAATGCTCGCATGATTGCCTATCATCTTCAAGAAATAACCATCTGATAATATGATAATTTCGGCCACAAACAGGTCATATGATTTTTAACACGCGGACAGCCGACGAATTATAGCATGTACTAAAAGGGCAACATAAGCACCAAATTACGAACATTCGAGCAATCAAGAAAAGTATCCCAGTTCTTCACATTCGTGTCTCGAATTGATATTTCCAAGCAGACAGCACAGAGAAAAACCCAACAATGTCGGCGGAACTGAAGCATTTCCAGCAGTCTTAAAAAGCGGACCAAGCCACGGAAACCAAACACCGAAGCCAAGCCAACGTTTTCGGTATGGTACGTTGACGTCTATTAGCGCAGTGCATCTCATACACGGGTCCGGATTATGTGATTCACACTTATTAGGACCAAACACATCGTGACGACATTGTCGCTTAAACTACAACACTTGGGTTCAATTAATATGACTACCCCGTTGCTGTGACATGCTGCCATCATGTCGTGCAGAGGGACTGTCGTAGTACCCTCTTAAAGCAGTGCACCTCTTGTACAATTTCAACGAGCAAGGCTTGAACTCGCTCTGAAATCCAGAGACATACTCTGCCGAGATAATATGCCAACAGCCACCCTAAGGAAACGGATCAAGCCCCGGGAAACGAAGACTGAAGCAAGGCCAGCGTTTTCGGTACGGTACATATACGTCTGTTAGCGTAGTGCACCTCACACACGAGTCCGGATAGTGCGATTCACATCCTTTGTACTGAACACGTCGTGCTGACAATGTTGATGGAACTGCAAGACTTCGGTCCGATAAATAAGACTCATGCATTGCCGTGAGATGCTGCAATCATGTCGTGCACAGGGACTGTCGTAGCACCCTCTTAAAGTAGTGCACCTCTTGTACAATTCCAACGAGCAAGGCTTGAAATCGCTCTGACATCCAGAGATATACTCTGCCGAGACATTATGCCAACAGCCACCCTAAGGAAACGGATCAAGCCCCGGGAAACGAAGACTGAAGCAAGGCCAGCGTTTTTGGTACGGTACATATACGTCTATTAACGTAGTGCACCTTACACACGAGTCCGGATCATGCGATTCACACTTATTAGGACCAAACACATCTTGCTGACGATGTCGGTGGATATGCCAGACCACGGTCCGATGAATAAGACTCATGCATTGCCGTCAGATGTTGCCATCATTGGCGGACGGACTGCAGTAGCACCCTCTTCAAGTAGTACACCTCTTGTATAATTCCAATTGGCGGGACCTAAAAACCGCTCTTACATCCAAAGACGTACTCTGCCGAGATAATATGCCAATAAAAATCCTAAGGATACGGACCAAGCCTTGGAACCGAAGACTGGAGCTAGGCCAGCGTTTTCGGTGCGGCACATATGCGTCTATTAGCGCAGTGCACCTCATGCACGAGTCCGGATCAGGCGATTCACACTTATGGAAAATAAACACATCGTGCTGACAATGACGGTGGAACTGCGAGGCTTCGGTCCGATGAATAAGACGGATGCATTGCCGTGAGGTGCTGCCATCATGTGCGGACAGGCTGTAGTAGCACCCTCTTGAAGTAGTACACCTCTTGTATAATTCCGATTGGCGAGACCTAAAAACCACTCTGATAGGCAAAGACACACCCCGCCGAGATAACATCCCGACACGAACCCTGAGGAACGAAGCCAAGCCCCGGGAACCGAGGACCGAAGCAAAGGCAACGGTTTAGGTACGGTACATATACGTTTAGTCGTGCGGGCACCTGAAACAAGAGCCCTTGTAACGCGATTCACACGAAGTAGAAATAAACACATTGTGCCGACAAATTCGGTTGAGCTGCAATACTTTGATTCAATGAATAAGACTCATGCTCTGTCGTGGGATGTCACCATCATGTGCGGACAGACTGTAGTAGCACCTTCTTAAAGTAGTGCGGCTCTTGCATAATTCCAGTTGGCGAGACCTAAAAACCGCTTTGTCATCCAAAGACACACTGTACCGAAATAATGTGTCAACAGCAATTCTAAGGGAACGGACCAAGCCCCGGAAACCGAAGACCAAAGCGAGGCCAACGTTTTCGGTACGGTACATATATATTTATAAGTGCAGCGTACCTTATACACGAGAGTACTTCCTCGGTAGAAAATGTTATTGGATGCCGCAGCCGTTTTGAGGTCTCGACAGCTGGAATAATGCAAGAGGTACACAACTTTAAGAGGCTGCTTATACGGCCAGTCCGCGCAACGTGATGGTGATATCTCACGGCATTGCATGGGTGTTGTTCATTGAACCGAATTGTTGTAACTCACCCGACATTGCCCGCACGACTGCTGGCTGGCTGGCTGGTGGCTGTTGGCATATTATCTCGGCAGAGTACGTCTTTGGATGTCAGAGCGGTTTCTAGGTCTCGCCAATTGGAATTATATAATAGGTGTACTACTTGAAGAGGGTGCTACTGCAGTCCGTCCGCCAATGATGGCAACATCTGACGGCAATGCATGAGTCTTATTCATCGGACCGAAGTCTTGCATATCCACCGACATCGTCAGCAAGATGTGTTTGGTCCTAAAAAGTGTGAATCGCATGATCCGGACTCGTGTGTGAGGTGCACTACGCTAATAGACGTATATGTACCGTACCGAAAACGCTGGCCTTGCTTCAGTCTTCGTTTCCCGGGGCTTGGTCCGTTTTCTTAGGGTGGCTGTTGGCATATTATCTCGGCAGAGTATGTCTCTGGATGTCAGAGCGATTTCAGGCCTTGCTCATTGGAATTGTACAAGAGGTGCGCTACTTTAAGAGGGTGCTACGACAGTCCCTCTGCACGACATGATGGCGGCATCTCACGGCAATGCATGAGTCTTATTCATCGGACCGACGTCTTGCATTTCCATCGACATTGTCAGCACGACGCGTTTAGTTCTAATAAGTGTGAATCGCATTATCCGGACTTGTGTGTGAGGCGCACTACGCTAACAGACGTATATGTACCGTACCGAAAACGCTGGCCTTGCTTCAGTCTTCGTTTCCCGGGGCTCGGTCCGTTTGCTTAGGGTGGCTGTTGGCACATTATCTCGGCAGAGTACGTCTTTGGATGTCAGAGTGGTTTCTAGGTCTCGACAATGGGAATTATACAAGAGGTGTACTACTTCAAGAGGGTGCTACTGCAGTCCGTCCGCCAATGATGGCAACATCCGACGGCAATGCATGAGTCTTATTCATCGGACCGTGGTCTGGCATATCCACCGACATCGTCAGCAAGATGTGTTTGGTCCTAATAAGTGTGAATCGCATGATCCGGACTCGTGTGTGAGGTGCACTACGCTAACAGACGTGTATGTGCCGTACCGAAAACGCTGGCCTTGCTTCAATCTTCGGTTCCCGGGGCTTGGTCCGTTTGCTTAGCGTGGCTGTTGGCATATTTTCTCGGCAGAGTACGTCTTTGGATGTCAGAGTGGTTTCTAGGTCTCGACAATGGGAATTATACAAGAGGTGTACTACTTGAAGAGGGTGCTACTGCAGTCCGTCCGCTAAGGATGGCAACATCTGACGGCAATGCATGAGTCTTATTCATCGGACCGTGGTCTGGCATATCCACCGACATCGTCAGCAAGATGTGTTTGGTCCTAATAAGTGTGAA